GGGGGGGGGGGGGGGAGGAAGCCACATCAAGTTAGGTTGAACGACTGCAAGCAGTTGCCGCTATAGCAGCCACTGGTCCACAACCTCAGGGCCAGCAGGAATTTGGAATCAAGAGCATACCCCAACTTGTCAAGGACTGGTACAAACTTTGTCCGCTGACACATATACATCATGAGGCAGTTGTTCATGAGCGTCGCCTACAAACTAAGTATCAAGCAATATGAAAAGGTATTCATGATCTTGGGTTGAGCTATGTGTTTAGAAACACCAGGGATATTAATGTCAACCTTTTTCGGGAGTTTTATGCCGATTTTAATCCAAATAATCTTGAGCATCTGGTGCCTATTCGGGGAGGTTGATCGATCTTTCAACATCCGCTATATGCAATTTTTTAGTTGCGCCGGATGTTCCCCAGGAACCATTGGACAACTTCATCATCCATCCAACATATCAAGCACTGAGCCACACTCTTTGTGGTGTCAATTCTGTGGCAGCTTGGGTTTGTGACAAGAAAACCAATCGTCATAGGAAATTCCCTAAGAAAAAAATGAAGGTAGAAGCTCAAAGTGTGGTTGAAATTGATTAATAAACGGCTCCTACCGTGCAACCATGATACTCTTATTAGCCGTGAAAGGACTTGCGTGTTATATTTCCTAATGATTGGCCAGAGGGTGAATGTGGGCTACTTGATCCGTTACCAGATGACCCAAGTGAGAACTAGCAAGAAAACTGATCGAATGCCCTTTACGAATATGTTGACTCAGTATTGAGATAAGAAGAGGTGGAGGAGGAGCAAGCTTTGATAGAGTCATTCCTCCGCCCTTACGACTAATAGACATCATAAGCATCCTAGTTAAGGAAGAGAATGCTATGATAGGTGCCGAGCGCAATGTTTGAGGTGATAGCTTTTTCGCCCATTTATATGGGATGATGGACCTACAGTTTTGGATTGGGGGACGACCAACCACTATAGAAGAGAGGGCTATCTTTGATGACATTTCCCGCTCAATGCTCATGCCCAACAGCTGGTTGGGCTTGGCGATGGCTACCGACTCCCACAGGATGAGGATGTCAACGCAACAGAGAAGTCTGAGGTCGAGCCGGAGCAGTCTGAGGAGGAGGACGCAGAAGATGAGGAGTGGACAGTTGCAGAGGGAGCCTTCGAAGATGAAAGCAATGACGAGGCTTGATCAGGGAGTTTTCATACCATCCTACTCGTTTTTTGTTTTGTTATCAGTTTGTGTATGTACTGAGGATATTGCATGAATTAAAGGTGGGGGTGGTAACTTGTAGATATTAAATACACTAATTACTTCTTGTTTTATTTTTTTTAGTTAGTATCATTTTTTTATTGAAAAAAAAGTAGAAAAAATTGGACTCTTCCCGACGATGGATCTCCTAGACAGTTTTCTTGAGGGAATTAAGTCTAAAGAAAAAAAAGGATTTTCTTTGTAGGTAGTATAGTAATTTCCCCTTGGTTTTTCTTTGTGCCGCGGTTCTTTTCCAAGGGTTTTGTTTGAACTGAGTATAGTTAGTTTTAATTTGGGAGTAGGAACCATTGCGCTATAAATTGAATTGAAGTACTATCTCTTGACTTTGTTATGCCTTGAGAATAGTGAGTACTCTAGTTATGACGCTTAGGCTCAATTTTTAACTCTAGTATAAGTAACTTAAATCGTATAATCTTAACTTTGCTTAACTGCTTTGACTAGAGTGTTTTGATAAAACCAATCCTGAGTGAGCTATGTGTCATGTGTGTGTGTACTCCGTACATTGCAGTTGATGTCTAGAACCTTATGTGTTTGCAAAGCGAAATAGTAGTCTTGTTCATTCTGGGAAGTGATATATGCGTTTCTTTGTTGAGCCAGATATATATAATTTACCCGCCTAAATGTTATGTAACGTAGTTAAACCCCGTTGAGCCTGTAATCCTATTTCTTTGGCAACCACATTACAAGCCTTACCCCTTTATTTGAATTAACAATCTATTTGAACCTTGTTGCCTCTCATGAGCACTTGAATTATTATGAATTATGTAAAAGTTAAAGTGTGAGGTGATTGTTCGACTTTTGAGTGGAACAAATGACATAAGGAGAAAGATGCACTGTTTTGAAAGAAAGAAAAGTCACTTGAATTGAAAACAAAAATAGTTGTATTGTTATGAAGAATATTCCTTGATGGTAGTGCCTTTTGATGTAATTGTGCTTAAATAAGTATGTGGTAATATACATTGATGTGAATGTGGAGTTTTGGTTTGACATAAGTATGGCTTGAATGTTAAAGTATATGTATTAAAGTGCTTAGGGAGGTGTAGTCACTCTTATATCCAAAGGTATCTTACCCGACCCGCAGCTTACATTACAACCAATTAAAGTCCTAGACTGAATGAGCTCAATTAGTAGAGTAATACACTACGGGCAAGCCTATGGTGCATCTTTTGTGGCATATGGATATTATTTTTGAGAGTGAGTAAATTCTTTCTATCTTGAGCTCCTAATTGTTCTTAAATTTTATTGTGTGTGGAACTAATCTCTTTTGTTGTGTGTGGGCACTTGATTCATGAAGGGAAGGTAATGTCATTGACCTCTATGTTAGAGCAAGTGAGTGAGTTGTGAATAATGCATGGTACTTGTGAGTCAAATCTTGAGGTGAGGATGTTACACTTTTGTGCTTAGTCTATTTTAAATATTCTTGGTGTGATGAGTTAGGAGAATTGTTTAAAAAGGTCGTGTCTACATAAAATGTAGTTTGATTGCTCGAGGATGAGCAACGTTTAAATGTGGGATAGTGATGTGTGGCTATAATAATATATTTTTAGTGCATTACTTACTTTACATTTAGGTGCTTTAATGCTAAACTACACTATATTTATGTTTAATTGAGTTATTTTATATGTAGGTACATTAGAGATGAAATTGTGAGTAAAATAAATATTTTGGAAGAAAAGTGTAAACGAAGCAGTGAGCAAGCGAGGCAAGCTTTGTAGCTCGCGTTAGAGCATGCGAGGTGAGGCAGTTTGCTCTCTGTTGATACCCAATTTTTCCTCAAACTATTTTTAAATATGCATATATACCTTCAAAATCACTTTTTATAATAATTTGTATTTTTCCATAATTTTCCATATTATTATTTTTTTTCTTCTAATTTATTCAGCACTTTATATCCAATAATTATTCATAAATTACATTATAAGTAATTTCAAAGTATTTCTTAGATCAATATATCATTTTTAATCCTATTAGGATTTAATTATTTCACAAATTAGCCAATTTGGCATTGTTTGGCTATAATTACAATAATTTTGCAATTATAGCCTAATTGTATACTTTATGCTATTTTAATTCAATAATCGGTCGTTTTATATTTTAAATATTAGTTAATTAATTACCTTAATTTTACCTATTTAGCTTTAATTTCATTTTAACTAATTATTAGCTATTTTTATTAATTATTTATCTAATTTGATGGGTATTTAACAATTAGTCATTCTTATTTAAATTATAACCTAAGTCAAACCAGCCCCAAACCCAATTAAATAACCTACTAGACCCCAAGCCCAATACCCTATCCTACCCGGCCCAATCTCCATTCCATCTGACCCGTTGATTATTTGAATCAACGGTCCAGATCAGCCCCTTCTATAGTTAAACCCTAATGACTACCCCTATCTCTCATTTCCCCCCTCTTATTCTCTCTAAACAGGTCTCTCGATCTCCCTTTCTCTATCTCTGGTTCTCTCTAGAACTTTCTCTTCTCCCCTCCTCTTCGATGGACCCTGTCCACCTTCTCCGGCCATCTCCCTCGCCGGAAACCATAACCTCTCATCATCTCATGGCCTCTGCTTCACCCCATGCCGGTTTGACATTACCCTAAGGTCTTCAGGTGAACCTGGAGCGGTTCAACTCCTACCCATGGTTTCTCATGCCATTTTTCGGCCATACATGACCATTCGAGTAAGATCTATGACCTTTCCGGCTAAAATCGGTAACATTTTAAGGTTTTCTCATCTTCTCTGGGTTCTCTGAAAACCTAACTCTTAAGATTTTCCGATTTCTTTTAGATCTGTCTTAGATTTGTGTATATTATGAGCTTTGTTGTTTTCCTCAAAGGTTTTTCCGATTTTTCTAAAATAACTCTTCATCTTCGAACTAGGGTTCTTAAACACCTTTTCAAAAATGCTTCTTTCTTCTGATTTTTTATTAATCTACGAGTCTCTATGTTTAAAATGTTTGTTTAAGCTTTCTCCTCTATTCGAGTTATTATGTTGAAAACCCTAATTTCGTCTCTTAAACTTCTTAGATCTGTACAGATCTGAGAAAGATCGAACTTATTTTTTACTTGTTTTTATGGAAAATCTCCTGATTTTTCGAGTGGCTTGTCATCTTCCTAAACTAGGGTTTCTGAAAATCCTTTTGTTCAAAACGCTTTCTAGTTTTAAGTGCTTAAACCCCTGTGTCTATATGTTTTGACTGATTTTGTTGAGTTCTTCCTTGACCCTAACTAGCCTATGCCAAAACCCCCAATTTTTGACACTTTGTTTGGATTCTGCACTTGTCCGCATTATTTGATACATGCCTATTTTCTGTGTTTTGATTTACATGATTACTTCTTCGTCTAATTAGAATATCTTGTGATTTTACCCTAGTATTCCTCTATTAGGGTTTTGGATTCGATTCTTTCTGTTTATACTTGACTTATTTGCTTATTCATGGAAACCTATGCTATTTTCCTTAAATCAGTGTTGTTTCGAATCCTTGATTTACTGATTTGCTATGGTAATACCTATATGCTGATTCTCGATTATTTCCATATTTTGCAACCTTATTTAGTTTTCTTACCTTATTTAATTAACCGTGTTATTTACTGATTCTTCACTAATTATTTCCTTAATTGAACCCTTGTGTATTTACTCCTAATTATTTACTCTGTACCTAAGTCTTACTTGATTTTCTTTCCTCAAATATGTCCTTGCTCTTTACCGTTGGTTAATTACCACTTAATTAAGGGAAGACGTGATGATTTGGTGCCTAATTGATTTTGTGGCTTCCTTAATTGTTGAAGACTGATTTCCTTTACCTTATTTTACTCTACTCTTAACTACTATATATACTCTCCTCTATTCTCACTTCTAGCAGACAGAGACGAACAATTCCACTGTTCTGAACTCTCTCTTACACACATACATACTCTCTTGCTTCTCTTGCTGTTTACTTGATACTCAGTCGGCTGCAAGCCAAAACTAAGTGATTACATTGCTCTACTGCTCTATTGTTCTACTGCTCTACTTCTCTACATACTACTGCTCTACTTCCCTTCATTGTACTGCTCTTCACTCCTCACTCACACTTATTCTCTTATTTTTACTGGTATGTTTTCAGTTTAACTTACATCATCAAAAACAATATGTCTCTATTTGTATTGCACTTCCTTTTGTTTCTCTTATGCTTCTGATGTCTCCCTTGCAATTAGCATGCCTATTTTGCCATGTGATTACCCCTTCCCTCTAATTCAGCATGTCTACTGCTTTCTTACATTTTCTACTACTATTCTGCCCTACCCCCTAAACTCCAATACATTATAAGTATGTGTTCGTGACACCTAGTTACTATGTGATCCTGAATCCTTTCCCCCAAACCTAATGTGTAACTTTGTTTAGTGCCCCTTAATCTAATACTGTTAAGGTCCTAGCATGAACACTTTGTGATAGACTATTGTTGTGACTATTTAAGTTCTATATTACTTCTCTGGTGTTAACCTGTGTGCAAATATGCTTTCACATATGAACTACCTGTCCCCAATTCCTCCTTTCCCTGTTTGTGTTTGAACTATGTATGTTGATTTGGTTTTGAGTTTCTGATTGTCCTGTTTCTTTTCTTCTTCAAACTGGTTTTCCCTAAGGCAAACTCTTCTATTGCTTTCCAAAACTTATTTCAAATTAATCATTGTCAAAACTGTTTCCAACTCGACTCTTTTAAACCTATGACACGCACTCTCACTCTACTCTTACACCATTAAGTTCTGCCCCTTTTGTGCGAGCCTTGCCTTGGGACCTTTGAGCTCCCTCTGAACTTGGACATACAAAAGTTGGCCTTTCCATACTGTACTTACTCTGTCTTGGCTATGAAATCTGGGTGTGAGCACTGTCCGGGATCTCCTGAGGTCCTTAGGGAACTCTGACACACCTAGATAT